TTAGGTTTTAATTGATGTGTCATGAGGTTGGGTTAGGTTTTAATTGATGTGTCATTACGCAATTTTCTTTTTAATGAAACGAAATGAGTGAGATGGAATTCAATCAGAGATATACCCATTTGAGTATTTGACATTCAAGATTTTTTAGTGCGTTGTGCTACATGATTGAAGTCAATTGAAAAAAAAAATCATGGTCATATGAATGATTAAGGAGGAAATCCTGCCTTAGGTACCACAAGTGCCGCTATGATTTAAATAATATTTCATTAATCATTTCTTGTGGACCATATTGCATTAATAAACTCATAGATGTTGATTAGCCTTAATTTGTCTTTGATTTATTTATGACTAATAATTGAGGAAAAAAAACTTATCTTATTAAACAAAGTTATGCAATATACAATTATGATCTTGTCAGCTATAATGCTATCTTAGGATTTGATTTGTGTAGATATACTAGTTACATATTGGACTCACATGGTAGATTGGTCTTATTTTTATGAGGGATATGATTAGTAAATGTAGTACATGTAACATTATAAAGAAAGAAAAAAGTTGAAAACTTTGGAGGACTTGTGGACTTGTTTAAGCATTTTCTTTCAAGCACTGTGCAAACATAATAAAACTATAAGGATGGAACTCAAAGAAAAAAGAATTCTACAAGGATGAATGTGAAAATTCATATAAACTACTAGGATAATTCATGTGTTGGCTGCGCAAATCTTACATCATGGCATTTCAGATTGATAAGGGGATATGCGTTCAACACAAATCGTTCTATATATGGATTACCGTGCGATTGATGACGATGCTGATGGATGCATGAATTTGTAGATTACACTTGTTTGATCTGATTTTGCTCAAAACGATTATGGCTGAGAGAGAATAATTCTCGGCCGTAAGTTTCAACAGCCAAAATTATAAACATAATTATTTTTCTATTTGACTCATGACAAATGTCGGTTTGTTCTCTTTTTCTGCTAGGCTTATGTAAAAGGAGCTCCAGTTTTGGTTGCCCAATCCACCTCTCTAAAAATTGACTAGAAATACTTTTAAAAAATACATAAAATAAATAAAAGTGAAAATATTTATTTTTATGTAAAAATATTTAATACTCTGTTTTGTCATTGTATGTTCTCATTAATTGGACATCATCATTCCAAACGGGCCCTCCGGGTTCTTTATGCCCCCGTTTAATGAAGCAGGTACGTAAAAGTCTTTTTCTTTTTCTTTTTCTTTTTTCTTTTATAATGGGTTATTATTATTATGGTGGGGTGAACCAATAATATTAATACTGTCAATTCATTATAATTAATGGGTTAAATAAGAAATTGCAAGATAATGATACATGATGAGGTGTAGGACCCCTTGTGGGGCCAGGAGTCGGGGACTCCTTAACTCGGAGTTAGGTGGGACCCGCATTAGGTTTACGTTATTAGCTCAGGACACCCGGTCTTGGATTTTACGTCTACAACTCTACAGCACCGCCCGTGAACTTCCCACACCGATGTAAGCGGGCCGGCAGGGCCCACCAGACCACAAACTTAGCGGCTTGCCGCTTAGCCGAGGCCGGGGAAATGGCTTCCCTCAAAGGTCACACCCCCTGGATACATGAGACCTGAACTCAACCAAGATCCCAAAATTATTGAATTTTGGTTCTCAAGTTGAACTTTAGAATTGTCAACAACTTAGAATAAATAAATAAAATCATAGAATACCACTACAAATCTTTTTCCTCTTCTTTTGTGGTATGGTAGCTGGCGAAGCCCAAATGATAAAGCAAACAAATTCTATACTCTAATGAAGTGAATTTTTCTTTAAAATAAAGAGTTCTTAAATTTATTTTTAAAATTCAGAAACTTGTTTGGTATACAACTTGAAAACTATTTTCAAATCATAAAAATTTGAGAACTTATGAGTTGTTAGAAAAAACTGAAAAAACATATATTTTTTGTTTTTAATAATTGGGGTGTTTTTTAGTTGTTATTGAGTTTGGGTTTTAAAAAATAAGGTAACCAAACAGATTTTCTTTATTTTGGATTCAAATTATGTTTTTGAGTTTAAAAAGTTGAATTCAAGTTAAATACCAAACGGGCCCTAAATATTTGGGATTGATACATCCCTAGGAGGGGGTCAAGCTTCAAGAATTAGTGAATAATCTAATAAATACACAAATGATGTATAATATGTTAGACCATATGATCTTTTTTTTGTTTTGTTTTTGTGTGTGTTTTTGTTGCTGATAGATCATATGATCTATATATTATAGTTTTACTTCTAAAAATAGACAAGACATTGAAAATGCAAGTGTTTACAATCCCAAGGCGCCTTTATTTTGTGGTTCTATGGATTTGGGTAGGCTTTATGTCTCCATTGTAACTTTTAAGTTCATTAATATAGTTTTCCGCGTAAAATCGAGGTTTCATAAACAAATAAAAAAGGCTTAAATGTTAAAATGGTCCTTGTGTTTTAGTCAATTGTCAAATTTAGTCCTTGTGTTTTTAATTCGACCAATTTAGTCCCTGTGTTTTATTCCGTTAGCAAATGTTGTCTATTTCGTTAAATTGCCGTTAACAAATTCATTTAAAATTTTAAAAATTATTAAGTTCTATTTACAAAGCAAACAAATATGAATTAAAATAAATAAATGTTAAAAAAACAATCTAGAGCCCTCGTTGTTCTCTCCCCCCCCCAACCCCCACGAGGAGTCCCAGCCCCCCCCCTCCTCTCTCTCTCTCTCTCTCTCTCTCTCTCTCTCTCAATTGTCGAATCCCAACATGGCAACCAAGTTCTTTAGTTTCTTTTCGCTTATTCTTTTGCTCTGCTCCACATTCATTGCAGTAAAGTGCCTCACCTTTCAATATCATGAGTACAACAATTGGAGGTTTCCTTGATGGGTTTTCTCTTGGAGCCATCAAAGAATCGGCCCCTAGCCCAGTGAGGGGCACAAATTTATGAACCAACAAACCCTTGGAGGGATAAAGAAACCTAGCCTGAGCCCTCCCTTCCCTCCCCACAACTCCTCCATCTCTCTTTCTCTCTTCCTTTTTCCATCCCACCCACCCCCAGAAAATATGAGTGAAAAAGATTCAACATCAGTATTTCCCGGCAACTGATGGTTGTGGTGTTGTGTTGGGTGGCGGCAGCATCATGAGAGAAGGACAGAGTCTGTTGGTTTTCCAGAATTTCTTTTTTATTTTGTTATTTTGTTATTTGTATTAATATTATAAACGTAACTTAACAATTTTTTATATTAATTTTTTAATTTTAATGAATTTTTTAAAGGTAATTTAACATAATGAACAACATTGGCTAACAGAGTAAGACACGGAGACTAAATTGACCAAACTGAAAACACAGGGATTAAATTTGCCAAATGTGTAAAACACAAGGACCATTTTAACATTTAAGCCAATAAAAAATAAATCCGGCTATTAATACATAGATGCTCCACCAACAATTGTCTCACAGAGATTAAATTGTTCTTAGAAATAAGAAACAAAAGTAAACTCATAGTTTCATAACAATAGTGTTTGATATAAACTTAACTTTGCAAGTGAAGAGCACTGTGTTTTGACTATGATCAAACAACATTGTACATAAATTCGCAACGATACAATCTAAATAACATGACGCGAAACGAGACGAACTCAATTATCATTTTCATTCTAGATCAACTTAGAGCATCTCTAAGGGAGATGTCAAATATCAAACATCAAATTTAAATTTGATGGCTGATGTGACAATTTGACATTTACGTAGTTTTACACTCCACCCAATATGTCAAATAAATAATTATTAACCAAGGTGGTTGGTGTGAGTGGTTCGGCACTCTCATTCCTTAAGAGAAGGTCAGGGGTTCGATCCTTGCTCTCGTATGGAGTCACCACTTTGGCCAGCACTTTACCCCTTACGGGCCGACCCGGTGTGAGCGGGGATTAGTCTGGGTTGTGGTTAAGGCTTAAAGGTGCCACCCATAGTTGGGGCCCATCCAGGACCACCTCGTGGTTCAAACCAAAAAAAAAAATAAATAATTATTGTAACAATCAAATCATTTAAGATAAAGAAGAAAAAAAATAAAAAAAGGAAAATAATAAATGAAAGTAATAACCAGCTATCTTTTAAAAATAATAAAAGATTCATTTGACATCTTGCTTTTAGGATGTCAAAAATAACATCTCAACCTCCAGCCTTCATTCCACATCAACTTTGACACATCGGTTGGAGTAATGTGAGACGTTATTTATAGCCGTTAAATGTCTATGTGGCATTTTTGACACATCGTTTGAAGATACATATCCAAGGGAGATATCAAATACCAAACATCAAATTAAAAAATTTGATGGCTGATGTGGCTATTTGACATTTTACATAGCTTTACACTCCACTCGATATGTCAAATTAAATTATTATTTTATTACATTTTAGTATTGATATATTTTTAATTAAAAAGAAAAGAAAAGAAAAATAATAAAATATTCATTTGACATCTTACTTTTGGGATGTCAAAAATAATATTTCAACCTTCAGCCTTCATTCCACATCAGCTTTGACACATCGGTTGGAGTGATGTGAGATGTTATTTCTAGATGTTAAAGGTCTACGTGGTACTTTTGACACATCGGTTTGAAATGTTCTTAAATAAAAATTCCGTAATGCTTGAGCCTCAGCCAAGCCGAGTGGAGCTAAAGGTCTTGATGCTATGAGATTGGTCAAGCCTTGGCGTGCGTGGGTATTTTTCTCTGTGAATCGCGTGGCTGTTGCTCAAAACTCCACTGACAAAAATATGTATCCAATAATTATGTAAGGTGACTGTAGAAAGTGGGACTGTAGAGTGAGAGAGAGAGATGAGAAATTGTTGGCCAAAAGGAAAAACTGCCGTGAAAAAAACTGCCATCGATCGATTCATAACCTGGACAGTGCGTGGGTGGTTTTAGCAAAACCAAACCCACTGATTCTCATGCACACGCATCTTTATATTCACCCCACCAACCCCTAAACTCCACGAGCTTTCTCTCCCTCCCTTCTCTCTCTCTCTCTCTCTCTCTCTCTCACTCTCTCTCTCTCTCTCTCTCTCTGAGTCTCTCTGCAACTCCCATTTCGATTTTTCAGGGTTATGTGAGAAACTGATTTAGTGGGCAAATAAAGAGAGAAGGAAACAGAGTAGAAGAGATAGAAACCCCACCAAGAAAAGAGAGATAAAAGAGTCAGAGAAAGGGCACACACATAACGATGATCAATTGATCATCTTTCATGACCAGTTTTTTGTTTGTTTTCATTCTGGGTTTTTATTCATGAGCAGCCGTTGTTTTTAACTTTGTAATTTTGGCTGGCCCTTGTTTGCTTCCAAAATCTGAATCATTTTTCTGATAAACCAGTTTTGCTGAGAGCTTAGTACTAAGCAAGGACACAAAACCAGAGCATAAAAGAAAACAAAAACAAGAAAGTGGAAATAAAGCTGAGCCCAACAAGCAAAAGAAGGAACAAAATACAAACTTTCTTTGTTCTGTTGTCTGATGCATGCACGTCTTGTCCTTTGATCATGACTCTAGAGGGTCTCTTTGCATGTCGGTTTTGAGCTTTTGGGGATTCTCTCTTTTCTTTCTTGCTTGACAGAGTTGATAAGAGAGAAGGAAGAGCGAGAAACTCGCGGAAGCAGTGAGCTTTTTTTAAACCTTTTTTTCCCTTGGGATTTTTCTGAGTCTTTAGATATGGAGGTCACAGAGTTCTAGCAGAGAATAGTTTCATGGAATCTTTTCTGGAAGTTCTGATTTCTGGGTTTTCTCAAGATGGTTGTTTTGACTGTAGTACTAGCACTCTTTCATCCACCATTCTCTAACACCATAGAGCTTAAAAAGTCACAATCTTCTGCTGTATTCTGGAGTTTCACCTTCAATCTGTGGCAGTTTGGGAGTCAAAGTCCTCACCTTTCTCTTTAATTTCTCTCCCCCTCTCTCATAAGCAAAGTTGAAAGTTGAATTAAAGTTCTCATCTTGGGTGCATTTGTATTTTCTTTTTCTTGTTTGCAGAGAAATTATATAGCTATACTGACCAGAAAGCAAGCTCTAATGGCAGACAATAACTTTCTACCCTTCCCGGCAGAGAAATACACAAAACCCACTTCGTCTTTCTTCACTTCTCCGAGATTGTTCACTAGTTTCACCTCAAAAGGTTATTCTGAAACCGACGCTGTAATGAGCCCAACTTCCATACTCGAAACCAAGCCATTCTTTGGTCTAAGAAACCCCTTCTGGTCTGAATCAAACACCCCAAGAACTCCAGAACCTGAAACCAAACGCCCATGGGACAAATTGGACCCCAAAGGCATTGGCCTTGCCATTGTTGATGCTCTCAATGATGATGGCTCTAATCCAAAACCATCAAAACCCGAAAGCCGGATGGTTATTTTTGGGTCACAGCTTAAGATTCAAATCCCTCCTCTGCAGCCCTCTGTTCTCTCACCTTCTGATTCACCAAAATCTGCAGCTGATTTCAGCATCAGGACCAAGAATTCTCAATTGGGTTCTTTCTCCTCTGTCTCATCTGAGTCCCCAGCTAAGAATTCCCCATTTAAATCTGCGAATTCAGGCCTTGAGACCATGAATTCGGCTCGGGTTTTCAGAAGCTGTCTCTCTGTTAGTGAAATGGAGCTCTCTGAAGATTATACTTGTGTGATTTCCCATGGTCCAAACCCAAAAACCACTCATATCTTTGACAATTGCATTGTGGAGAGCTCTGAGGGTGTCCCTGAATTTTCTCCAGGCGGGAAGGTAAATGGTTCAAGCTATCTGTCTGAGAGTTTCCTCAGCTTCTGTGACAATTGCAAGAAGAATCTTGGGCCGGGCAAAGATATTTTCATGTACAGGTTAGCTCAATCTTATTTTTCAGTACTTTCAGATTTTTTTTGTTCTTTAATCATATGATTCATATTTTGTTCTGCTCATGTTCATGTTTTCTTGCCTCTCACATGAAATCCAATGTTCATGTTTTTCTTAGCCTTGGATCATGCTTATTAGTTGCATAACATATGATGTCATGGCTGAGACTCCACCTCAAATTGTATCATCTTAGAATCTTATATTATTATACTAGAATCATAAATTCATGTTATAATAGAATTATGGATTGGGGTTACTTAAAATATATTAGAACTACAGATCCAATATTATTCAGGGTATCTTCTGCTATATAATAAACCCATCTAATCCCATCCAACCAACTAATAATAAAATTATGCAGCCAATTACAATTTTAAGCAATCCATTGAAGTGTCAAATTGGGTTTTCTTGCAGAGGTGAGAAGGCGTTCTGCAGCCGTGAATGTCGTTACCAGGAGATGTTATTGGAGGAGGAGGGAGTGGATAAACTGTGAGCTGACCGGGCCTATGGAAATTGTTCCTGACACTTCACTGGAAAAGCTCCAAATATCTGTCTTGCCTTCAACAGAGAGAGCCTTCCCTTTTTTTTCCTTTCTTTTTGGTTCTAATAATAGGGAAA